TTTTTTTAAAAGTAGTGTTCATATACTCATTATATGTGTTCATTTTGGGTAGCATTTATATCTTCATCAACTACTATTAAAATATTGTTAAAGAATTAAAGAATAATAAATCGTTTAAATATAATTATTTTTTAAAAAAATTTCTTTCTTATCGACTTTCTTATCGACTTTTTAATTTATAGACAAATGTATTAATAATGTTTAATCAATTTTGGTGGTTGAATTGTAGTTGCTTCTTATCTTTAGCTTGCCACATGCTCCCATCTAGGTGGAGTCCGGAGGAATCGTTCTTTTCAAAATTTAATTTTATTTATTTCATGATAGAGATACACACTGGTCTCTTTCATAAAAATGAAAGCCAAGACTGCAATTAATTTTTCCTGTCTTAATATGGGTGTTTTATATTTTATTTTTTAATAAATCCTCCATTTTCCTGTTGCTTGGAAATTTTAATATGGAGTTTTTGTATTATGTTGCTTTCTAAAAGCACTTAATGGGCCGGCCAAAAAAAAAAACAAAAAAAAACAAAAATGGGCAATTAATTAGATTGTGATAACTTGTTGAATTTTCCACCAAGAAGGCATTTTCAAGATGTTTAGTTGACTATGACTGATTTTAACTGCTGGAATCTTAGCCATATTATTCTTGACAAGATTACATGGTTAAAGTATTATGCTGCTTCTTGAATTTTAGTTTAGAGCCATTACTGAGAGCTGTATGTGTTTTTCCTTGCTGTTGCTATATTTTATATGATCAGGAAGATGGGGCAAGCTTTGTGTTGCATTCAAGTAGAAGAATCAACTGTGGCTATCACAGAACCCTGTGGGAAGTGCAAACATGTGCTTAAGCCTGGTTACCATTGTTCACCATGGTGTTTTGGAAGACAATTAGCTGGTAAACTTTCCTTGCGTGTGCAACAGCTGGATGTTCGTTGTGAAACGAAAACCAAGGTTTGTAGCATAATTCATCACTGCTCTAAAGGTCTATTTCCGAAATTTCATTCCTGATGATTAATTTCTGGAAATATCTATTGTTGCGTGAGAACATATTTCATGGTCAAAATCCAATGCTCTTCCAAAAAAAGAAAAAAAAAATTCTGATAATTGTTTCTAGCATATATTTGATTTTAATACGAACAAATGCAAAATTAATTAGAGGCATGCATTTCTTTTCCTGTCTGTGTCTTTGTTGGTTATTTCAGCAAATTCTGATGTGTGATCATTCCTGCAGGATAATGTGTTTGTTAATGTGGTCGCTTCAATTCAATACAGAGCCTTAGCTGAAAAGGCGTTAGATGCTTTCTCTAACCGCAGCGATATAAGAGCTTGGATCCAATCCTATGTCTTTGATGGTATGCGTGTTGCTTTAGCTCATACTTATTTAAGAAACTTAATTATGTCTATGTTACTCCCTCTTTCGTGTTTACAATGGGACCTACTCTGAACTTAAGCTCTGTAAATTCTGCTTGTAGTTTCTGCTGTCAATTGTACTGTTGAAGTTTCTGTTATCTCTAGTTAGGATATGTTTCATTCCCTACTATGGTGTTTTTAGTTAGTTAGGATGGTACTTCATTTGTATGATGAAAAAAGAACTTCAGAAAGGGCAACCTTGTGGAAACTAAGGATAAAATGGTCATCTATTTGTAATATGCTTTATTGGGTGTGTAATTTAGAATGGTTTGTGGGACTGAAATTGCTCGTTATCATGGGATGTGCTATCTGATGAGTGCATAGGAGGGTTATGATTTATGAAGATAAAAGATTAATGGTCATAAACATTGCAGCCTGTGGTTTATTTCATTTGGGATTTCCACTCATTTTTCGCCAAGTATTTACTTGAACTGTTCAAAGTCTCCTTTTCATCTTACAAGTTAAAAGAATCTCTGTACTTTCTATTTCAAAATTTTGATTTTTAGAGGATTTCGAAATTTTGATTGATGCTTTGAACCATAAGCAGTTCAAGTTTATAGTTCATTGAGCCATGGTTGAAATGGGCTCAATTCAAGAGTACTAGTTTCTATATCATAGTTCCTAGGTGGAAGTGACAGGATTATGTTTTCTGTTTAGTTATTGGGGCAAGCGTTCCTACGTTGGAGCTGGATTCAGTATTTGAAAAGAAGTATGAAATTGCGAAAGATGTGAAAGAGAAACTTGAAGAGGTACCTTTCTGTGTGCTTCATATATTTGGGATTATGCTCTTTTTGTTTGAACTAACCAATTTTATGGATCTGTAGACCATGTCAAAACACGGGTTTAAGATAGTTCAGACGTTGATTGTGGATATTG